GTTTCCCTGCAGCTTAAAGCGTCCTTGGACCTTATGATTAGTTTTCAGGCCATGCAGGTAACCTCCTTTCCTTAATCTAGCCTTCCATTTAGCCTCACTGATTTGGAGGTCAACCCAAGGTTTAGTACTTGCGTACTTCGGATTGGCTGGGATTTCTGCTCCCTTAGGGAGTGCGACGAAGTTTCTTACTGAGTTCCGGTTTTGCTTTTTCTTACCATGGGCAGTCTTTTTGAAGGCACTTAATTTTTCCTCTTTGTTGTTGATCTCGGTTTCTTGGGTTGAAGAGTAGGCTGCATCAGCGTCCTGTTCTTGACCGTCGCCAAGAGTGGGGTCATCTGCTTTGGCGTCCCTTTTGACTTCCAACAAGTCAAGCGCAGCAAAACGGTTGCTGCCACGAAACCGTTCCGCAGACAAACATCTGTTTGCTGCTTGCTGTGGTAACAAGGTCTGCTGCCTCGAGGCTGACTACATCCTTCATCAAGGCAAAAACAATTAGTATAACCAAATAAGTCCCTGCATAGGTGATTTCTGAAAGTGGTGGGAACCATACCTTTCACAACATCCAAGCACAATTGCGCTGTCAGTTATAATCAAGGTGTCGCAAAGAGTTTGCAGACGTGCAACTGCAATTTATGCATGGTGCCCTGCCACTTGCTGCGCTTAAGATCGTCGAGTTGGATCCTCACTTTAGTTGCAACATGTGGGTTCTTGTACTACGCGATTAGTATCTCTTCGAGAGCGTCTATTGGGGTGACTAAGCCACTCCGTTAGATCGATCTTTGGATACCCAACCTGCATAAGTTGGGCGTTTAGGAAGCTGTTACGGCAGCCTCGCTGTTTGTCCCTAGGATCAAGGACTGAGAGGCCGAAGTAAATAAAAGAAAACGCAAGAGCGTCCATAGGATCACGTATACAGACGATTTACCTCAAAGTAAGCTCTCATGGAGTTGATCCAAGACTCAACTTGCCATCGTACTTGAACTGTATCATCATCGCCTTTCTATCCATGTATGGATTGCTATAGTTGTGACCAGCCATTGCTGGGTCCAACCTCAGGGCTGCAGCAATTGCAAAATTTCTTGCGCTGTCACTTGTAGCGGCAATGGAATCTCCACCTGTTGCAGGTCATGAAAGATTTGCCAACAAACTCAACGAAGAAGAATAAGAAGAGGAAGTATGGAGAGGTGCAGAGGTAGAACGGTTAGCATTAAGAGGTAGGGGAAGAAAGCTTGAGATTTGGGCCTGATGCATGATGGCCATCTGTTGTATTTGATTGCGATGCTCCCTGACCATATCTGCCATCTGAGTAAGCAGCTAACTCATTTCGTCGAGTAGTTGGGACTTTATACTCGGAAGCTCACTGAGCAAATGACAATCTATATGAGGGCACGTACGAACTTGGCCAGATCTTTCTTGACAGTTGCATCAGACATGGTTGAGACTGTGTTGAAGACTGTCTCAAGACCTTCAGTGGCTGCTTTCCACTTAGCCTCTTCCTCCTCCTCCTCGGCCATTTCCTTTTGGTATAGGTCTGGTACAATGGTTCATCGTCGTCATCCGTTGCATCCACTTGAGCCTTTAGAATATTAGAAAGCTCGGCTGGTGCCATGTTGAAATTACTAGATCCTTCAGTTGCCATGACCTCGCTCTCTCTTGTCTGCGTGTTGTGACGAGCGTAAAATAGACTTCAGTAAAAAAAACAAACCAAAAGCACAAGAAGAGAAGGTAGAAGTCCTAGCCGGAGCGGCAAAATATTTGGACTAGAGAGCAACCAACAAAAAATAAAATAAAGATAATTTAGAAGAGAGTTCCAACTCGCGTTTTAGTCCGGTCAGACCAAGTAGAAGATCCCCTCGAGACTAATCCAATCGGCACCATCAAAGTACAACCAATCAGACTACAAGTGACGACATACAACAATGGAGAATTGACTGGTGTATAAGGAGTAGGTCCAACAGTGGATTGTGCGTCATCAGTTCGCAAAACATCTCAGCCGAGATACCCTTGGCAGTGAGTGCTCTAATCAAATAGAAAAGCAACGAATTCCAGACAGAAAAAAAAGCGACACTGCGTCAACAGATCTGAGTCGAAGGGGCCCTTCTTGTTTGGGCCTGGTCCCACTGAGTCCCAATGGGTCCACCGTTGGTCGCGACCAAGTTCCAAGCAAGGAGAGTACCACAAGGTCCTACTTTTTGCCTCTACCGTACTGAAAAACGAATTTCAACTTTAAGAGACATTCTACAGACTACATCCATTCATAATGAAAAGATAAAGCACTGTAGAAAGATATGGCATTCAAAGCAAGATACTTCATCTCTCCATCTATCAGGTCAGTAAGCAGTTTGCACACCAATGCACACAACCAAAGGCCCAGACTCTGAGATGAAGTACTACTCATCAGGTCAGTAAACAATACCATGCACGCACACATGGGCAACACTTGGGTGCACGACACTTACCTGAGTGGCCCGAACTCTGAGATGAAGTATAACTCATCCCCCTTCCTCATATGGTCTCCCCAACCGTATTCGCTACCTCTACATCAGTGTTCTATCATGTAGGAGAGTCCGACTCCAACACCAAAGTGCAACGCTGGATCCCCTGCCGATGCTGAAGAACAAAGTAGCAACTTGCAGGCCGTAGATGCTGAATGGCTACCTCCCTCAAGATCGCCTGCTTGAGGGAGGCCCTTAGTCACCAAGTGTCTCCCTTAGGTCAGATTCCAGGTGCGAGTGCCTCTCACTGTTGCCTCTCTCAAATTGTCGCATGAAGTCCTCTTGTTGTGTCTTGCCACCACAAGCTCACTCTTAATCAACCTGGTCAGGTTTAGTGTCGACCCAACACGACCTAACCAGGTGGGGGCAGCTTCCCGAATCCACGCTGCCCCACTTCCCACTTCGACCAACCCTAACCCTAAGTGGTCAGCCCTAACCTACCTAACCACTTAGGTTAGGGTTAGGGTGGATACGTCAACTCTCACCAGCAAGTAGAATCCGCTCTGATATCAATGTTATGATGCTGGCCAATTTCGAAGTACACATCCACCAGAAAGTACAATGCCGTCCGGTTGCAAAAAGGAATGAATGAACTTGAGAGGAGAGAGAGGGAAAAAAGAAGAAGAAGAAGAAGAAAGAAAGAAGAAGAAGATAATGTACACCAGCATAGACCAATGATAGAGCAATGATAATGCTCTTTGTCTTCGCCAACCACTCTCCTCCTCCTTATCTCCTCCCCTCTTATTCAAGCAATAAATAATAGTAATAAGGTTGAATGGCTGAACCAGAATCAATGTCTGAATCCCTCTTCTACTGCAGGTATCACTTGAGGTCCACCGTAGCCATGGCCGCCTCCCTCACTCTTTACTCTCATAGGCCTAGGCTATGACGGACTGCTAGGGCCTCGCCCTGGTGTGCAGAAGACAACTCAAGCAGCTATAGCTGCTCTAGCTCAGGCTGCCATGCCTGACTCTGCCTCAAAGCTTCTTGGTGGAGCGCTACCCCGGCTGGGGCCTTCTTGCTGCAGCGCCCACCAAGGTGATGAAGATGGAAACCACCCATAGCCAGGTAACTACATCTGGCGCTCCTCCCTTCCCAGTCCTTGGCTTCCTTCTCCCCGTATCCTTGCTCCTTCCCCAGCAGCGCTGCTTCAAGCTAGCGCTGCTCCAGCCAGCGCTCCAACCAGTGTGTCGCCAAGCTTGCAATGAGGAGGAGCACTTTGCTCCTCCTGGAGATATAGCGGCCCATGCTTGCCTGTTGGCGAGTGACTTCCTAGGCCGCACAGCCTCCAAGCAACCGGTACCTCCTCCTTTTCGGAGGGAAACATCATTGCAGACTCTGATATTGCCTGTACAGGCCCTGGACTCAGACTGGATGGACTGGCACCCGCCTAGACCTAGCCTACAACTACTGGGCCTCTGACAATGCCAATTTTGTCTTCTTCTGCTCGGCCTCGAGTACCTGGCACATCTACCTCTGCTTGGTGAGGTACCGGCTTACCTGCTACTCGAGTGTTTTCCCGCTGCTCTAAAGCGTCCCGGGCCTCTTTCGCTGCCACTTGAGTGTTTTCCCCGCTGCAACCCTCAATGTCATGGCCACAGTTAATTACCGGGCCTTCTGGACGAACAAGTGCCTTTGCGGATCGCACACACGCTCAAACCGACAAGCACTCAAACTGGCATGCAGACCAGCAAGCACGCACACACACCGACTTACAAAACTCAGCAACAGGCGGGAAACTCAGCAAGGCATACATATACATTCCATGAGCAAACCTCAGAAATCAGCTGTGTGTCTCATTCAGTGTTTGGCAGGTTATTACAAAGCCAAAAAAAAAAAGAAAAGCAAATGCGAGGCCCTTTCTGACAGCCATGGAAATTGAATCTTGGCTTTTTGGCCAAGTAAGATCAAGTGTAAAAAAAGTAAAAAATAAAAATGAAAATAGACAGATCTACAGTTGAAGTCCACACGACCCAAGCTACAACACAAAACATTTGTACACGTTTCTAGGTGCAGGTTGAGGGTTCAAAGCACACAGGGTCAACGGGCGTCTGTACAAGGGGTTAGGCCAGGTGTAGGGATCGAGTCCTGGCATCTGCGATTGTCGCGCAACCTGGCTGAATCCCTTTCAATGCAGTTTTCTGTCTGAGAAATCCGCATTTCTTTAAGGGGGAAAAAAAATAAAAAATAAAAAAATAAATCAAATGTAGTATCTTTCCGACAGCCATTGAAAACTTTTACATAATATAGAGACGATTCCGACGGCTCCTGCGCAAGGATGACTCAAATTGAGAAATGGTTCAAATTTTGAGACATGGTTCAAATTTTGATGCTTTAGGGTTATACCATGGCTAATGCGTTGGATCGCGGCCAAACTTGGAAGCCAAGTGCTGTTGGACTGGAATAGTACTGGGATGGGTGACCTCCTGGGAATGATAACAGAAACATAAAGTGAAATGCTGGCATGCTGGACTGACGTCACTGCCGATTGTTCTGACATTGCAGGAATGGGAGAGGCCGGGTCCCAGCCGCAGACCTGACATCTTTCCACAGTTCACACCTATGAAAACGCCACTACCGCAGCCTATGCCGGGCGACCCTCCAGAGAAAGAAGACGAAGACGAAGAAGATGACGACGAGGATCCTGAACCGGAAGAAGAACCGGAACCGGAAGAGTGAACGGAGGCTTAGGTTTGTTCGGTTGATGTGTGTGGGTGGTGCAAGTCCGAGTGTGTTTGTGTTGCTGTCTGTGCGGTTGTTGTTCATTTCAATTCTTTAAGAAAAGGATTCTTTCCCTTTCTGTGGTCGTAATTGGATTAAGTTTTGAATTGTCAGGCCGGTTGTCGGAAAATGTAGGGAGAGGATGGAGGGTCTGGGAGTGGGCAATCACCTGTTTTTTTTTTTTTTGCTTGCGAGTATGTGTGTGTGTGGGTCTGATGAGTTTCTTAGGCCGGCTGTGTTGAGAGTGCACTGAGCGGATAACCATATCTGAGAAAAAGAGCGGGGTCTGTGAACTGTCCACGTGCTGAAGTGGCCGCAGGAGTTTCTGAAGCTAGGTAGAGAGCGGTTGGCTTGCCGACCTGCATTTCGCTGCGTAATGAACGAATGATCTTGTGGGCGACGGGAGAAGAAATATACAGAGTAAGGGAGGGCGGGCAGGCCAGTGCCCAGGTGCAATCTTGTTTGGCTTGGGAAATCAAGTACTCTCTCTTTCTCTGTCTCTGTCTCTCTCTGTCTCTCTCTGTCTCTCTCTGTCTCTCTCTGTCTGTCTCTGTCTCTCTCTGTCTCTCTCTGTCTGTCTCTGTCTCTGTCTCTGTCTCTGTCTCTGTCTCTGTCTCTGTCTCTCTGTCTCTCTGTCTCTCTCTCTCTCTCTTGTCTGAGAGGCCTGTGCACTATTGGAGTAGAATGTCAGTTATGAAGATCCAATGGGGTGTGGAGCCTGCTCAGTTGCAGACCTGTGTCTGAGAAATTGATGATTGTCTGATTGATGCGTGGCTGGCGAAATGTCAGAGTAAAGAAGGGTCTGTGGTGCAATGTAGGGGTTGGGCAGAGGCTCCAGTGGAGCATTTGCATTTGCTGAGTGATAATGAACTTGGTTGGGGAGAGGCTTCAGTGGTCCATTTGCATGTGCCAAGTTATAAAAAGAAGAAAGGGGGGGGGGGGGGGGGGGGAGTGGTTTGGGGTAGAGGCACCAGTGGGGGCCCCAGTGGAGCGTTTGCATCTGCTAAGTAAATGATGGACTTGGTTGGGGAGACGCTCCAGTGGTGCATGTGCATCTGCAAAGTTATCGTGAACCTGGTTGGGATTATGACCACATCCATAGTTACTTTGCTCATACGTGTCGCCAGTAGTGCATTTGCAGTGAGAGGGATGGGGGGGAATTTGCATCTGCTAAGTAACAATGAACCTAGTTGGGTGGAGGGCCCCAGTGGTGCATGTGCATCTGCCATTTTATCATGAACCTGGTTGGGATCATGACCAGGTCCACACTAACTCTGCTCAGACATGCCACCAGTGGAATCTGGCTCTGCACGGAAGGGCTCGCGGGCTGAGGACTGAGGGTTGAGGGAGAGAGCCTCCAGTGGTGTATTTGCCTCTGCCAAGGTGAGTTGTTGTGCATTTGCATCTGCTAAGATAAGTTATTGTGAACATGGTCGCGATCACAACCAGATTCATTCTATGTTCAGGCCTCCAGCGGTGCATTTGCATCTGCTGAGGTAAGTTATTGTGCATTTGAATCTGCTAAGATAAGTTATTGTGAATGTGGTTGCCATGACAGCCAGATTCATTCTATCTATGCGCAGGCATACCACCAGTGGATTCTGGCTTGGAGCTGCGAGGAGTGAGTGGGTGGGGAAGAGGCCCCAGTGGTGCCACTTGGAGCTCTACCGGGAAGAGGCCCCAGTAGCTCAGTTCCAGCAGATCTGCGCTTGGCTAGGGCTATCTTACCTCGTGTTGGACGGCCACCACTGCCTGGGAAGGCCTCTCCTTTTCCCCAAAGCGGCGACCAAATTAGGCCCAGATTTGGCCCACCTGCTAACCAGGCCCTTGTGAGGCTCGGCAGATCTGATTTACGGAGCTATATAGGCCCTGCTCCACCACTCACCAAATTTTGCAAAATAATAAGAATGAATCTTCGGCTAGAACATGGAACGATACATGTGCATACTTTTTATCTTCTGTGCATGTGATGCGTGGTGGAGTGAGGCCCTTAGTGGGGTCCAAAATGCCCCGCTTCTTTTTCTAAGGGAGGCTGCAGGACTACGGGGTCTGGGCAATCGTGTGGATGCCCGTGACTCCTGGTACCCTCCCCCCCTCCCCCCCCGCGCTCAGCACGATGCACGGGGTTGGACCGGGGGCCCGCCGGGCTGATGGACCGCCTGGTCCAACTGGCAGCAGGCTCCTGGTCGGGGGAGTGATCCCCCGGTCCATCCGGGGGACCAGCACTGATTTCGATTCAATAATGCTCAGACAAAAGTAGTTTGCATCGATTGAACAAATTTGCAATTACACACAACATATCATTTTTTTTTAAGGATCTTCCCCTACACCCCCCCCCCAAAAAAAAAAAAAAAAAAAACCTGGGGCTGCCCAGGAACTTCCTGGGGCATACCTGGGAGCTTGCCAGAGCCTGTGCATTCTGGGAAGCCGGTGGGAGCTCGGGAGCCTGGAGAGGTGTCCAAGCCGACAGGTCCTGGGCTCGAATCCCGGGAGCAGCAAATGGCAAAAGATTCAGAAATCCAAGAGAATATTCAGCAAAGGGATTCAGGTCCTGCTCCCCCCTCCCCCTCCCCCTCCCCCTCCCCCCAGTTCAGAGTCCCCTGAGAACGTTGTGTGGATGTCTACTACCGTCGTCACGCGAACAGAACGAACGGTTATTATAGCTATGTATTTGGGGCAACTTTGAGTCTAGATACAGCAATAATGACCGCACGTTGTATTCGCTCGGGTGAAGACGGTAGAAATGGTATGTCATGGTCAAACGCTGAACCAGGAGTAGAGAAAGCCACAGATATTCGAAGTCTGAGAAGCAGAAAGGAAACTTGAAACTTCTGCTTTTTTTCCCCAGAAAACCGTGATGGCTCTGAGATATCATTATTGAACTGA